ACACCAGTGAAAGGGTCAATTGACCCCCAAAGGGGTTGCAACCCACAGGTTGAGAACCACTGCTCTACACTAATTCCTAATAAAATGCTGTTTCCTTTGTAACTTGATAAGCAGAACCTTTATGGTCACATTTTTATCAGCTTTCCAGTCTTTCATACTTCTATCAGAATAATTTTTTAAGTTTTTTATATAGCCTTCTCAGATTTCTCTAGCCTGTAACTCCAAGCTTTCAAATTCCTCTCACAAACAAAGGCCTGGTAACATATGGTCAGGCTCATCAGGGGGACTCTACTTCTTGGTTCTGATGTTCTATTTTAGTTATTGTCTTGATGCTTTAATAGAATGTCTGGCAGAATTGACTTAGGAGAGGAAGGATTTGTTCTGGCTGATGGAACAGGAGACAGAATCCATCCTTAGGGGGAAGATTTGTTATTGGGAGCTTGAGTGTGCTTGCCTATGTCTTGGCAAACTGGGAAGTAATACCTATAACTCTCAGGCCCTGCCCCAAGGTCTTGTGTATCCCAACTAGACACAGTGCCCAAAAGGTCCTTGTACTTCTCAAGACAGAGTTACTATCTGGGGAAATCGTTAGTCAAATGCAGGAGGCTGTGTGAGGCATATCACTTCAAACCATAGCATAGAAACTAAAATTTACTGTCTTAAACTGTGCTACTCAATGTTAATTACAAGATTCTGATTTGGGAATTGTGTGATTTAGATAAAGCCTTACACTGTATGTGTTTTTGTGTATTTTGTCTCTCTCTCTCTCTCTCTCTCTCTCTCTCTCTCTCTTTCTGTGTGTGTGTGTGTGTTAGAGGGTGCATGTTCCACAGCACACAAGTGGAGGTTAGCGAACAACTTGCTGGAGTCGGTTCACTCCTTCAGCCAGCTATCTGGATTCTAGACATCAAACTGAGGACTCCAGGCTTGGCAACAAGTGCTTGTACTTGCTGAGCCATCTCCCCTGCCTTTTGCTGTACGTGATCAAGTGAACTGTAATACGTTAACTATTAGACATTTTTATCTTACTGTTATAATTACATTACTTAAAATAAGATTTTAGCATTATTATTGACCATATTAAGAAAAGCAGCTTTAAAACAAGTAAGCGTAGCTCAGTCTTTAATCTCAGTACTCAGAAACAGGTGAATCTCTGAATTCAGTGTCAGCCTGGACTATATGAGTTCCAGGCCAGCAACGGCCTTGTAGTGAGACCCTGTCTCAAAAGCAAATACCTCCCCACCCCCTCCCAAAAACGCCCTCAAAACAAGTGTACAAAGTTCCAAAATTACCATTCACCATTGTATTAAGTATTTAAAACAATATTTTTTTCATTTTATTTTGTGTTTCAAAATAAATTTAAAAAAATTAAACAAACTGTAAATGTGTAAAAGAGCAGAAAAGCAAGTCTAAAATACTGTTTGATTTAAAGATATTGGGCCCATTAACAATAATTCTTCCGAGTCTCAAGCAGTAGCCAAGAACGACATACGCTTTAGTTTTTTAAAATTTGTGAATAAAATTTATCTTGATATACACTCCTATTCCTTTAAACATGAATGTATTTTTTACATACAAATCTAATATCAAATCAATTCATAAAAGGACACTAGGAAGTAGAACATGTCTTTTGTATTCAGCTGCTTCAAAATGGGTTTAATGAAAACAATCACTGTAAAAAATTTGATTCAAATTCCATGAAAAAAGAAATCTGTATCAAAATACTATGCGGCTGAGGACCTCTAGTGTCACTGCTGAATATGGCATTTTAAGAATTTTTTATGCATTTATTATTTATTACTATTTATTCACTCTGTATCCTAGCTGTAGTCCCCTCCCTTGTCTCCTCCCACTCCCACTCTTCCTCTCTCTTCCCCCACTCTCCATAGTCCACTGATAGGGGAAGTCTTCCTCTCCTTCTCTCTGACCCTTGCCTAGCAGGTCTCATCAGGACTGGTTGCATCCTCTTCCTCTTGGGTGGCCTTGCAAGGCTGCACCCCTGCTTCAGGGGGAGGTGATGAGAGAGCTGGCCACTTGGAGATAGCCCCTACTCCCCTTACTAGGGAATCCATTTGGGAACTAAGCTGCCTATGGGCTAGATCTGAGCAGGGGGTCTAGGTCCTCTCCATGCATGGTCCTAGATTTTTAAAACACTGTGAAGGTAAATGTGTGTGTGTTGTGAAAGAAGGAAGTGAAGGGAAGAGAGAGAGAGGCCAAGAACAAAGAGAAGCTAAAGTTAACTTATAGAACCAAATGGGATGCTTAAACTAAGTTTTTTTTTTTCACTTTAAATCACTTTCTCCCTTTCCTTTCCTCCCTTTAGACCCTCCCATAACCCACTTTAAAACTGATAGCCTCTTTTGTAATTACTGCTGCTACATATAAATATATGCACAGATATGTAAATATAGCCTGTGGAATGCATCATCTCTAAGAGAAGCTAACATTCCCTCTCAGCCTTAGTTCTTTGTCTAGGGGTGGGACCTTGTGAGATTTTTTTCCCCTCTCTAGTTAGCATGTCTACTGATATTGTCACTTTTCAAATCTTGCTTATGCAGCCCTTTCTAAGTCAGTCTCACAGCAGCCTCCCTGGTATTCTAACTCAAATCTTTTCATCTTCCTCTTTAGTAATCTTCCCTGAGCTATAGATGCAGGAGCTGTGCTGTAGCTGTATCCATTCTGGTGGAGTCCCCCACAATCCACCCATCTCTGCATTGTATTAGTTTCTGTAATGGTCTCCATTTGCTGTAGAGAGATTTTTCGATGTGGAGTGAGAGCCACACTTATCTGTTGGTATAAGGATAACTTTTAGAATATGGCTAAGGAATTGCACATGTAGTAAGGTCTGGCCAGGGGGAGGTGACAAAGTGTTTTCTAAGATCTACGGCCTCACCAGTCTTGGGAAGTTGGCTAAGTTTGTCAGCACTAGACATGGTCCTGCTCCCACTGAGTGATCCTTACGTCCACTTAAACAGCTCAAACCATCAAGATTTGAACCTTTACTTTTATGTTAGATCCATCTCTAATGACCCAAGTCTTGTTTTCTAAGCAATAGGGTTTATCTTCAAGTCCTGAGAGCCTATGTTGGAGTGGGAGTCACTTAGATTACCCTCACAACAGCATACAAGGTTTCTCATGCCTGATACAAGGGTTTTGTTAATCTGTGATCGTGGTGGGGAGTGCTGTCAACCCAAGTGACAGAAGAGAAGAGGATACTAAAGCTTTTTAACCTTCTGCTCTTTCTTGTACTTTTAATTTAGGAAAGAGGGTCATGTTTTAGTGAAAATTTTAAAGAAAATTTATTTAATTTACTATTTTTAAGTAAGTTTTATTGAGGTCTAATTCTAATAGCTTAAAATGTATCCTGTAAATGTATAAACTTGTGATAAACAATGTCTCATCAAAACTAAGAAACAGAACAATTCCAGTAATATTAAGATTTTTTTTATGTTCCTTTGTAGTCTTCAACACCTGTGGTAACCACTGACTTGATATTCAATCCTTTTCCTATAACTTATGTCTTTATTTAGTGTTTTCTTCAGCCAAGTATACTTGAATCTTAATCCTTAGATGATCTGACAAGTCTTATCTTTTAATGGTTAAGTAGCAGAGTTAACATTTAACATAATAATAGATATGTATAAATCATCATCACTTAATTTTTTTCCTACTTAAAAATTCTTAATGATTTATAGATCTTTAATACCAACACTCAAAAAGACAGAGGCAGGCAGATTTCTGTGAGAAAAAGGACAGCCTGGTCTAGAAAACAAGTTCCAGGACAGAGCTCTTACATAGAGAAAACCTGTCTCAAAAAAAAAAAAAAAAAAAACCAAAAACAAACCAAATGAAGCCAGGTGCTGTGGCATATACCTGTAATTGCACCACTCGGGGAGACAGAAGCAGAGGCAGGCAGATCTCTGTGAGTTTGACGTCAGCCTGGTCTACAAAGCAAGTCCAGGACAGCCAAGGCTACACATAGAAACCCTGTCTCAAAAAGGAAAAAAAAAAAAAAAAAAAAAAAGAAAGAAAATGATTCCATCAAATCTTCACTATTGCCTCAGTTTATAGCTCTTTTAGAATTTACTTTTTGTGGTTGCTTTCAGAAATTAATTTTTAAAAATAAAACATGGCAGCCTGGTGTGGTTGTGCATGACTTTAATCCCAGCACTCTGGGAAGCAGAGGCAGGTGGATTACTGTGAGTCTGAGGACAACCTGGTCTACAAATTGAGTCCAGGACAGCCAAGGCTACACTAAGAAACCCTGTCTCAAAAAATAAGTAAATAAAAACATTTTACTAGAAAATCCTCTTATTAAAATGTTGATATTGGTACTTGGAAGGTTGAATTGAATGATTTCTTTGTACTAGAGAGAGAGAGAGAGAGAGAAAAGAAATTCAGGGAAAATCAATGAAGGAGAAACAGGAAAAACAATAAAATGGCATCTCTGTGAGACTGTCTTAGATAGGATAGGGCAAGAATTAAAGCAAGTGTTTTCTAAGTTTGACTTAATGGAATTATTTTATGATTTTGTGAATTGATATAAAAATATGTAGTGTCTTTATTGTATAAAATCCATTTTATTTTTATGGTCTTAGTTTTGTTACTATTTGTACAGAATACATAGTTTTTATTGATTTGTTCCAGATATTTTAAAAATAAAACTAATAATTTAAGACACCAAGCCTGTCAATGTCAAGCATCCCATTCTGCTACAAATAGTGTACACTACCAAATTAAAATCTTTCCCTAGGAAAACAAAGATGTTTTTATTGTATTCCAAACTAAGATTTTATATCAGATCAATTTTATTATAATTAGGAAGTCCAAAATACATTGAAGTAGAAATTTTAAAGATGTGCCTGTTCTACTTTCTCTGAATGAAAGAGGTACAGTAAAGCATTACTGTCTGAATGCTTTCCTTATGTCTCATTTTACGGCATAAAACAGATGCTGTGTTTGCTTTGTAATTGATCTTTGACTGTTTGTTTTCTTTTTAGTTATTCAAAAGTTTTGTGTATAGCATTTGAGGTTCTTGAGGGTTTGCAGTACTTGAACAAGCATGGCATAGTACATCGGGCACTGTCTCCTCATAATATCCTCTTGGATCGAAAGGTAATTTTCAGCTAATAATAGAAATTTTTATGTTGCTTGAAAATGAAAATTACTGAAATCCTCCATTTATCAGAGGAATGTAGACGAATAATATGTTTTCAGAATATTTGTAATGACTGTATGAAAATGATAGATTTGTAGCAGATGGAAAGAACAATTTTTAAATTAAATTCTCTACTTTGCCTCAGCTTAGTTTCTAACTTTGTGCTTTATTTCTCCTCTTTTCTTTCAAGGGGCTGTGAATGTGAATTGAGTGTGATATATTGAATGGCTTCACAGTTTGTTCCTGATCTTCAGTTACTTAAATTTTAAGACAATAGTGCCAGCCATTCATATGGAATGCCATTATCATGAGCACAGCTGAATTATTTTACACCTTTATTCTTCCTTCTTTCTCATTTCATAGATCTTATTTGACATCTGCCTATAACTAGGCCCTTTTCTGTGGGATTCCTTCTTTTCTATTTAGGAATCTTACAGGGGATTAGTAATGTAGTAAGACCTCTCCTACACTAATGGGTAGTAAATTGGCATATTTTTATGAAAATAATAACTTAATTTTCCCATAAATGTAGAACAGGTTCTGGGTAACTTAGTGGACAATTATTTCTATATAATTATTTCTGAGTCTTAAAGTTGAATGTGGCTACTCTATGGGATTAAAAATCATGAAAGAGAAACCAATACTTATTCATTTCCAATTCACATCAGTAAAGCATCATTGCTAGAACCAAGTGAGGATGTTTCCAAGTACAATTTGTAATTCTTGAGCAGACAAACCACATTTAAAATCAGCTATACAAAATGAAAACCTAAGCCTAAACAGGAATAGTTTAAAAGGCATAAAACTTCAATTTACCTTTTTATTGAACTCTCATTAATGACTGTTATTGTTATTTGTTAGCAATAAAAAGATAATTAGAAATATAAAAAATGTGTTAAAAATCTTGATTTTTTTTTTTAATGGTAAACTTTTTCCCACTAAGAATTACTGTTCCACAACTAATGGTCTTTGCAGGTCTCTGGAAAAAATCCTTTGCAAAATTTCTATTCAATATTATAATCAAGGATTCAAGAAACATGACAACTGTTGCCTTTTTTTGTTTTTGTTTTTTGTTTTCTATGACTATGGATTTTTCAATTTTGTTTTTATTTTTTATCATTCTTTTTTATAATTTATTTATTAATTATAGTTTATTCACTTTGTATCCCAACTGTATCCCCCTCCCTCTTCCCCTCCAAATCCTTCCCTTATTCCCTCATCTCTTTCCATGCCCTTCCCTAAGTCCATATGTCCTAAGGGCATAGTCGTTTTTTTGTTGTTTCTTTCTTTTTCTTCAGATATTTCTTTTTTTTTATGGTGTTGGTGTCTTTATTTTTTTTAATTATTTTTTTAATATTAATCACAGGTTATTTACTTTCTATCCCAGCAGTAGCCTCCTCCCTAATTCCTTCCCAATCCCACCCTCCTTCAACTCCTCCCTGTCCCTTTCCAAGTACACTGCTAGGAGAGGTCCTCCTCTCCTTCCATCTGACCCTAGCTTATCAGGTCTCTTCAGGACTGGCAGCAATGTCCTCCTCTGTGGCCCAGCAAGGCTGCTCCTGCCTCGTGTGGCGGGAGGGGGGTAGCTTGGATACAGAACATGGTAGCTCAGTATGCAAGTGGGTTTCCCTAGTAAGGGGAAGAGGAACTATTTCTGCCTTTTTTTTCTCTTTCTCTCTGTTAAGAAACAGTCTTGACTCCGCCTTTCTGGGGACTATGAGAGAAGGATAGGATTGGAGCGGGAGGGAGGGTGGGACCAGGAGTAGACGAGGGAGGGGGCAAAAAACAAACAAACAAAAAAAAAACAGTCTTGATGCCTTAATAATATAAGTGACAAAAGTGTCTAAGAAATTATTTAACCTTTTTTTAAAGACTTAGTTATTTTCACTTTATGTAAAACTTTATGGGTGTTTTCACCTGCATGTTTATCTGTGCATCATACACAAGTCTGATGACCACAGAGACCAAAAGAGGGATGACATCTTCTGGAACAGGAGTTGTAGACAGTCTATTGCTGCCATGAGAATGCTGGTAACTGGACCTGGGCCCTCTACAAGAGCAGCAGTGCCCGTAACACTGCCATCTCCAGCCCAAGTAGACATTTTGATATAAATTAGTGTCTGTGTGTACATGTAGCCACAAGCATTTATGCACATGTAACGAGTGTTAAGCATACTAAATATTGATTCTGTGTATAATCATGGTGTTTTATAAATTCTTAAATAGTAGTATTTTAATAACATATTATATGACTGTGATTGGAGAGATGGCTTGCTGGTTAAGAACACTGGCTGCTTGTCCACAGGACCTGAGTCCAGTTTCCTGCACCCACATCAGGCATTTCACATGACTGTCTCTAACTATGGTTCCAAGTAATCTGATGCCATCTTCTGGTATCTTTGGGCATCCTATAGCCTACACGTAGACATGCATATATGCACATTTATGTAAATCTTTTAAAATATTATATTGAATTGCATAATATTTATCTTGTTTATAAAACAGCGATAATTTTCTTCAGAGATGTATTAAGGTATTTCATAGTGATTTTCTCTTTTCATTATAGGGTCATATTAAATTGGCTAAATTTGGACTTTATCACATGACAGCTCATGGTGATGATGTCGATTTCCCAATAGGGTAAGGGTTGTTTATCTCAATTTTTAATTCTGTCTTAACTTTGATGAACTTTGATAATATATATCTAGTTAGTGATTTTTAACACGAAAACAGATTTTCTTTACTTACTACAATGTAATTTTTGTAGACTTTGTTGACAAGTAAACAAAAAATATTTTCTTAGTATCTCAGAGATTCCTGAATTGAGTCACAAGCCTTTGCTATATTTATTAATGATATTTCTTAATTAATTGAATTTCACTTAGAATTAAGTGGTTTATGATAAAAAAGCTAACAAGATTCTTAATATAATGTGTCATCTATAAACTGAAAAACATCGCTTGTTTTACTTTCAATTTAATGTTTTATGTTTATTTAATTGCTTGTTCTCTAAGATAGAATTGTATTTTTACATTCCAGTTAATTCATTGTGGATATTGGAGGTAGTGGGATAAATTTTATATAGAGAAGTGCATGTTTAAAGAGGTCTGTTTCTTTAATTGCTTCCAGTGTGAAATTTCAGATCTACATTACCCTCCTAGAAATTAATGGAACTTTAGTTCATGCCATATGTAGATATATTTCTGATAGAGACTGTTATGTTATTGTGTGGTTCCTCTGAAACATTTTCATAATGTAACTCCTTTCCTTAAGTTTACATTATTTTCTACAAAATAAAAGTAATTCCTGAATGTCCTTCAGCTGCTCCATGTTAACATTTTACTCTATTTAAATTGTCTCTCATTTTCTGTGATTGAATTTGTGTATGTCTGATATTTTTGTGGCAGTCTAAGAGTAGACATACTGCCTCTTTCTTTCTAAAACTTCAGCTTATACTTCACAATAAGGACTTTTCTTGCATAACTTCAGAACAATGATGGGCAAACTGAAATAGACACATTGTTATGTAAACTAGAACTCTTACTCATATTTTTCACCAACAGTGTGTAGCTGTTTTTAATAGCAATCACTTATGTTATCTTCATGGGCTCCAAAACATCAGCTCTACCTACTAGTACTAGGAGTTGTGATAGGCAGGCATAAAAATTTCTAAAGTAGAATATTGCTTAAATTTTTAGATTTTTGAAAATTTTGTCCTTTATTCTAAAAACTTATATTGTAGGGTTTTTTTTCCTTTGAGACAAAGCCTCTCTACATAGCCCTGGTTATTGTGGAATTCACTGTGTAGAACAGGCTGGCCTCAATTTCATAGAGATCCATCTGATTCTGCTTCCAGAGTGCTGGAATGAAAGGCATACCCCACCATGGCTGGCCTTCTTTGTCTTTGTTTTGTTTGTTTGTCTGTTTGTACCATTGTCTCAAGCTGGCCTTGAACTCACTGTGTAGTCCAGGCTTTTAAAACTTTAGTCAGTAAGGAGACATCTATTGAGCACTTTCTGGTCTGCCTATAAAGCTAATATTAGTTCTTGTCCTCAAGTAATTCCTTCATTTATTAATAAAAATTTTATTTTTTATATTAATTACAGTTTATTTACTTTGTATCCCAGCTGTAGCCCTCTCTCTCATTCCCTCCCAACCCCACCCTCCCTCCTTCATCTCCTCCCATGCTCCTCTCCAAGTCCACTGATAGAGGAGGTCCTCCTCCCCTTCCATCTGACCCTAGCTTGTCAGGTCTCATCAGAACTGTTTGCATTGTCCTCCTCTGTGGCCTGGCAAGGCTGCTTCCCCCTCTGGGGGTAGGGGGATGGCCAAAGAGCCAGCCACTGAATTCATGTCAGAGACAGTCCCTGTTCTCCTTACTAGGGCACCCACTTGGATACTGAGCTGCCATGATCTACATCTGAGCAGGGGTTCTAGGTTATCTCCATGCATGGTCCTTGGTTGGAGTATCAGTTTCAGAAAAGACCCCTGTGCCCAGATATTTTGGTTTTGTTGCTATCCTTGTGGAACTCCTGTTCTCTCCAGGTCTTACTATCTCCCCCTTCTTTCATAAGATTCCCTATACTCTGCCCAAAGTTTGGCTATGAGTCTCAGCATCTGCTTTGTTACCCTGCTGGGTAGAGTCTTCCAGAGGCCCTCTGTGGTAGGCTCCTGTCCTGTTTCCTGTTTTCTCCTTCTTCCAATGTCCATCTCTCATCAGAACAAAACAACAGCCTACAGATTGGGAAAGGATCTTCACTAGCCCTATATCTGCTAATATCCAGAATATAATGAACTAATAAATCAACAAATCAAGTAATCCAATTAAAAAATGGGGTACAGGGCTAAACAGAGAATGCTCTGTAGAGGAATATAGAATGGCAGAGAAACACTTAAATGCTCAACCTCCTTAGACATCAGAGAGATGCAAATCAAAATGACCCTGAGATTTCACCTTACACCCATCAGAATGGCTAAGATAAAAAAAAACTCAAGTGACAATACATGCTGGAAAGGATGTGGAAAAAGGGGAACCCTCCTCCACTGCTGGTGGGAATGTAAAACTTGTACAACCACTTTGGAAATCAATCTGGTGCTTTCTCAGACAATTAGGAATAGTGCTACCTCAAGATCCAGCTATATCACTCTTAGGCATATATCCAAAAGATGTTCAAGTGCACAACAAGGACATTTGCTCAACCATGTTCTCAGCAGCTTTATTTGTAATAGCCAGAATCTGGAAACAACCCAGATGTTCCTCAATTGAGAGGAATGGATACAGAAATTGTGTTACATTTACACAATGGAGTACTACTCAGCAATTAAAAACAATTCATGAAATTTGTAGGCAAATGATCTAGAAAAGATCATCCTGAATGAGATATCACAGAAGCAGAAAGACACACATGGTATATACCCACTTACAAGTGGATACTAGATATATAATATAGGATAAACATATTAAAATCTGTACATCTACTAAAGCTAAGCAAGGAGGACTCTGGGTAAGATGAACAACTCATTTTTAAATGAGTGAATTTTCTGTACTGATGGCTTATTTATTGAGATATGCAAATTCATAATCTCGACATTTCACATAAGTTTAATGGTAGAATACAGTTTTATTCATAAACATAAAATGTTATAATAATAGTTAACAAGTTCTTATAGAAAAAATATCTTTATATTATTATAAGTTCTCAGTTAAGCTCAAGCTTCTTCCTTTTATGGTCATTACCATTTGTCATAAGGAACTGTAATAGATGTGACAGTTACTTCTGCACTTTATCTACATCAGTTTCTATGAGAAAAAACTAAAAAAAAAAAAAAAAAAAACCATAAAAGTTACTTTAAGTTTCTGACTTACAGGCAAGATTTCATTAGTTTCTGGTGAAAAATAGAAATGAGTTCTCTTAAAGCATATATCAATCATTTTGAATTTAAAATGCTTTGGTCTGTGTTAGCATTCAGTGCAACTGGCTTTGAAGTCTGAGTTTCAAAGGATCTTACTAAAAGGTATAAAGAGCAAAGTGTGAATCATTAGCCAGGAAAAATAAAAATTAAGTGATCAAACAGCAAGACCAGAAAGAGCCTTTAACATCAGGGGAGACTCGTAGTTGATTTTAGTGACAGATATTAAGGAACTTAAGTGTTACCAGCTGCTTCAAATTATTGGAAAGAATTAGAAATTGGGCATTCATTATGATTGGACAGTAGCTTAATGCCCAATTACAGGTGCAGATGATGAAAGCCACTTGCATTTATCCTGCCATGTTCAAAGTGAAGTTCTGGTAATTTTTGTTGAGTGCTAAAATGAGACACTTGGGAGAAAGTTGCTGAAAGATAATGCACTCCATTGCAGAGCTGTTTTAAGGCTCTTTATGAATTTCTGTCTCGTTAAAGGGGACCCAGGATGTTTAGTGCTTCTGTCCAAAATTTTCTGACATACCAATTTCATTATAGTTTTGCTTGACTTTTCATTAACTGTACTATATTTTGAGTTAATATATTGAAAGTCAAAATCAATATCTTACCTTTTGAAAATAGCATGGTGATAGCAATGATGAAAGTACAACATTGGATTTGTGTTACATATTTCATTTTTGTAGACCATCTTTATGTATTAATATTTACAACAGTTTTTTTGTGGCGAGGATCATTATTGCTTTCTACAGAAGGAAAAAGCCAAGTCAGGTTTTACTGAAATAAAAGCAGAGGTTTCGTTGAGCATGTACAAGGCCATTGCCGGTGCTTCAAAACAAAGAGTGGAGCAAAAATGCAAAACCGCTACATATGGGGCTTTTTCATTTGACTTTAGCTGTTTCTACAGACAACACACATTCACTTAGAAAAGCCATATTGGCTATCACGTGAGGGCAGATGTTATCTACAAATTTATATATAATAGGAATACATGAGTAAATTAAAAGAATATTTATGTCATCATGATGAATAATGATTTAACAAGTTAATAAACTAGCTTTATTCAAGTTGTATATCCGGACTCAAATGAGTTGTATTTTACATATAAATAAGAAATTTGGCAATGATGAGGAGGGGAAATTTGACAAGTATGAGGAAGGGATGTCACATTTATTTGCAGGTATTTTGCTTATAGTTATTATTTTAAAATAATGTAAATGAAGAAAAATCCAGATTTATGGTGCTTATGAGTAAATTTGAGAAACACACACACATATATATATGATACTGAAATAGGAATTGCCTACATGCTGTGTCTAATAATTCAGTTTTGGGTTCACAGGATTCTTGGAGTGTGAAATGTTTATAATTTTGGATTTTGGTTTTGTTTGAATCTGATTATGACTATCCCCTGATTCTTTCTTTTAAAATATTTTTAAAATATTTTTGAATGTATATGATTACATCATTTTCCCCTTTCTTTTCTTCTCTCCAAACCCTCTCATGTACCCCCACCCCATTTCTTTAGTATGTGTGTTTATATGAGTGCAGTGTGTATGCACCTAAATACATAAATATAACCTGCTATTCCATATACTATACCCATGAAGTCTCACCAAGAGGCTGTCTAAACATGGCTTGAACAAGGACACCAGAAGTTATGCTAACATGGAAGGAGGAAAGCTCACAGAACTACAAATAACTAAGAAATGTGGAAAGAAGCAAAAATAGTCTACCTGAGAGAAGAGCACACCAATTGGTTATTCACTACTGACTGTCCAGTCCTAAAAAGATGTACATACAAGTGTTTGACTTTTTAAAAGACTGTGGCACTTTTAAAATTATACTATTTTATTTTGCATTATTAATATGAGATCTTAGGATAAATAAGAAAGCAAAAGTTGGGGGCTAGAGAGATGGCTCACAGGTTAAGAGTACTGGCTGCTCTTCCAAAGGTCCTAAGTTCAATTCCCAGCAACCACATGGTGGCTCATAACCATCTATAATGAGATCTCATATCCTCTTCATGTGTACAAGCATACATGAAGGCAGAATAATATAAAAATAATAATAAATAAATAAAATTTAAAAAAAAAAGAAGGCAAAAGTTATAGTTTAATAATGATGTATTTTGTGTCAAGTTTACCAGGGGTCATTTGTGCTGGTTAGATTTTTATCAACTTGACACAAGCTATAGTCATCTGAGAAGAGAGAACTGGAATTGAAGATTGCCTCCATCAGATTGCCTGTAGGCAAATCTGTGGGTCATTGTCTTGATTAACAGTTGATGTGGTAAAGCCCAGCTCACTGTGGGTGACACCACCCTGAGCAGGTGGTCTCGCTATAAAAAAGCAATGAAAGGGGAGGAGGTCCTCCCCAATCAGTGGACTTGGAAAGGGGCAGGGAGGAGATGAGGGAGGGAGGGTGGAATTGGGAAGGAATGAGGGAGTGGGATACAGAGTTAATAAAATGTAACTAAACTGGTTTCCCATAGTAAGGGGAACAGGGACTATTTCTGACAGGAGCTCAATGGCAGGCTCTTTGATCTCCCCACTCCCCAAGGGAGGGGCAGTCCTGCTAGGAGGAGGACTTTGTAGCCAGCTCTGAAGATATCTGATAAAACAGGATCAGATGAAAGGGGAGGAGGTCCTCCCCAATCAGTGAACTTGGAAAGGGGCAGGGAGGAGATGAGGGAGGGAGGGAGGGTTTGGGAGGGAATGAGAGAGCAGATACAGCTGGGATACAGTTAATAAAATGTAACTAATAATAAAAAATAAATAAAAATTTTAAAAAAGCAATCTGAGCGAGCCAGTAGGCAGCATTACTCTATGAACTCTGCTGCAGTCCATGCTTGAGCTTCTTCTCTGACTTCTCTCAATAATGGATAAAATGGCATAAACTTTTTCCTGCCCAAGTTGCTTTTTTGCTAGAGCTTTATCACAGCAACTGCAAAGCAAAATATGATACTGTTGAAAATAATATCTGTTTCAATGGCCAAAGGATAAAACAATTCACTATCCACAGAAGCTTGACTGTAAGAAGGAAAGAAAGCACTTGGAAACCTAGAGGCGTGCAGTATTAGCAATATGATATAATCACAGAGAAAATTAAGAAGCCAAACTGATGCCACAGAGAAATATATTTTTAAAATGAATTTTATTTCCTTAACATAAAGCCTGTATTTCAATGATTAGTTCAAGATTCTTTTAGTACCCACTGTGGATTTAATCATGTGGGATTTTTACATCTCATGCATAAATTATAAGAATGTGCTACTGTTTGTATCACCATTGTAGCTCATTGTAATTATTTGTTATTTTCACATGTGTTGCAGGTATCCCTCATATCTGGCACCTGAGGTCATTGCACAAGGAATTTTCAAAACTACTGATCATGTGCCGAGTGAAAAACCATTGCCTTCTGGACCCAAATCAGATGTATGGTCTCTTGGAATAATTTTATTTGAGCTTTGTGTGGTATGTATAAAGAAGTATTAAACTAATAAAATAAATTCTGTGTTTGAATTTGCTTTTTAGAGAGGAAGCTTACATAGTAATGAAATATTTTCCTGTGCAAATTGAATAATATAAATTGAAAAGGCTTATTTCTCAATTTGAATTAAATTTCCATTTGATCAGGTAAAGACTGACAGACAGATGGTTTAAATATACATTTGTGATGTACCATGTGTATCTGGTTCCCAGAGAGGCTAGAGGGGCATATTGAATCCTCTGGAATTAGAGTTACAGATGGTTGTAAGCTTCCACGTGGGTGCTAGGGACCAAACCTTGTCCCTCTGCAAGAGCATCAGTGCCCTTAACTGTTGAGCCGTCTCTCAGGCCCCCCCACCCATCTCCTTTCTTAATTTGTATTTTGGTATTTCTTGAAATGTTCAGGTTTGTACTAATTGTATGAACTAAGTGCCTGGTTGCGGCTTTTGCAGGGAAACTCTTGCCCCTGGTGCCCCCCCTGCTGATTTGTTGCTTTCTACCTGACATGAGGGGAACATCCTTCTTGAGCACATGCTCCTGCTGCCATGACATTTTGTCTTAACTTAGACCCCAAACCTGGGGACAGGCCAAGTATGAACTGAGATCTCTCAAACTGCGAGATAAGCCAAATGTTTTCTACTTTTATGTTGACATCTCAGATACTTTGTCATAGCATTGAGAAACTCACAAGACACCCATCTGTTGTTTGTGTTATCTAAGGAATTTTTTCCACATAGTTTGACAATAGCAGGCAGCTCATTAATCTTTATCATGAGTAAGAACTAGTTTAACTTTTTTTTTTCATTTTGTATATTTGAGATCTAATTAAATAACAACAAGAAAATCTGGAACACAGAATGCCAATCTGAAGTTGCTTGACAGGAAGAAGAACTGCTGTAGGTGGTTAAGAGGTGCAGAGAAGATACTTAAGCAAGATACATAAATAAGGATTACAGGGTAGACTGCCAGGGCCATCTCTGTCTTTTGCTAAGCAATACTTTTGGTCATCTGGAAAAACTAACAGTCAAGAATGTGTGGGCTTCAAAAGTGATTAGGGCTTTTGATCACACTTAGATCTAATGATCATTAGATTTTGGTGCCTTTGTTAAATATATAACACCTTATTAAATATTATTTAGCAATAGCTCTTCTTTGTCAAACTGATTAAAAGAAAACAATAAATCTCTGGTAAAAAAAAAATGGAAGTGCCAATAAAATCAGCTTCAGTTATGATACACAAAAAGATACCTGGGGGAGGACTCTAAATATTAATAATAATTTATTTTTCCATCTTATTTAGGGGAGAAAATTGTTTCAGAGCTTGGATATTTCTGAAAGATTAAAATTTTTACTTACTTTGGGTAAGTTTATGTAATTGCTTATCTTTCCACCATAAATATAATCTATAGAAACAGCTGTCATCTGCAGTGAAGTACTCTCCTGAAACAGTGAAATGCCTATCATCAGGTTGCTGATGATAAGGTACATGTCAGAAGGTATCGTGAAAACTGTCTTTTAAAACATGTATCAGTTTTCTATATTCACGAAGGAACTTGAACCAGTTGGAAGAAATCTTAGTTTAATAAGTTAGCCAAGTAAACTATTTTGTATAATCAAAGTAATAGAATGTAAAACCATACATTCTATTCTATTCCAACACCATACCTAAACCTTGAGCTACCTTTCTAGTATGACTAACTGTAGATAAAGAACAATCTTAAAAAGTGTTTACTTTTCATTAGAATTTACATATATATTATGTTTGAAATTTATAGTAACAAATGTGTAAACTAATTTAGAGTGGAATAAATTAAATGTATGGTAACAGATAAGAGGAAAACTAATAGGACTATTTCATAAAAAATAATGACATTTCAGTGTTCCAGTAATAGAGTTTAAAAATGATAAAACCAGCATCTGTTTCGATCCCTGTTGGGTGAACCATTTTAGAGGACCCTCCATAGTAGACTCCCATCCTGTTTCCTCTCTTCCATATCTGTCCTGTTTCCCTTTTTTAATCAGATTTAAGCATCCTCCCTAGGGTCCTCCTTGTTGTTTAGCTTCTTTAGGTCTGTAGAAGGCTGGCCTATATTATACAGCTAATATCCACTTATTTGAGAATATGTCATGCCTGTCTTTCTGTTTCTGGCTTATCTCACTCAGGATGATCTCTTCTAGTTCCATCCATTTGCCAGCAATTTTCATGATTTCCTTGTTTTTAATAGCTGATTAATATTCCATTGCGTAGATGTACCACAATGTCTGTATCCATTCCTCCATTGAGGGACATCTAACAGATGCTGAGACTCATGGCCAATCTTTGGGCAGAGCACAGGGAGTCTCATGGAGGAAGAAAGGGATGGGAATAGAGGGACATGGCAGGGACAGGAGCCTCACAGGAGACCAACAAAACTAAAAGATCTGAGCCCAGGGTGTCCTACAGAGACTGATGCACCAGTGGAGGACCATGCATGGAGAGGACCTAGACCCCCTGCTCAGATGTGTCCAGTTGACAGTTCAGTTTCCCTGTGGCTCTCTGAGTGAGTGGAGCAGGGGCTGCCTCTATCATGAACTCAGTTGAATGCTCTTTGATCCCTTGCCCTTGATGATGCAGCCTTACCAGGCCATGGAGGAGAGGATCCAGGCAGTCCTGATGAGACTTAACAAGCTATGGGCAGATGGCAACAGTGGAGAACTCCCTTTCAGTGGACTAGGGGAAGGGAATGTGGGTAAGAGGGAGGGAAGGTCAGACTGGGGAAGTTGAGGGAGGGGTCTTTAGTTGGGACATATAGTGAAGAAAAAATAAAAATAATAAAAAAATAAAACCAGTGGAAAGGAGTTAAGTACTCAAAAGTAATGAATTTTAACTAAGTACTATAAAATTTTATCTGATTCATTAATTCTTTTTTTTAATTTTATTTTTTTCTTATCAGTTACATTTTATTAACTCTGTATCCCAGCCGTGTCCCAATCCCTCATTCCTTCCCAGTCCCCTCCCTCCCTCATCTCCACCGTGCCCCTTGCCAAGTCCACTAATAGGGGGGACCTCCTCCCCATTCATCTGATCCTGTTTTATCAGGTATCTTCAGGACTGGCTGCAAAGCTCTCCTCTGTGGCCTAACAGGACTGCTTCTCCCTTGGGGGGTGGGGAGGCCAAAGAGCCAGTCGTTGAGTTCCTGTTAGAAATAGTCCTTGTTCCCCTCACTATGGGAAACCAATTGGTTACTGAGCTACCACAGGCTACATCTGAGTAGAGGTTCTAGGTTACATTCATACATGGTCCTTGGTTGCATGTCAGTCTCAGAAAAGACCCTGTGCCCAGATATATTTGGTCCTTGTGGAGCTCCTATCCTTTCCTCATCAGACTAACTCCCCTTCTTTCTTATGATTCCCTGTACTCTGCCAAAGGTTTGGTCATGAGTCTTTGCTTTGAAAACACTGCTAGTTAGAGTCTTTCAAATGCGCTCAGTAGACTCCTGTCATATGTTCAATGTGCATCCCATCTGTCTTTCTAAACGAGGATTGATAATCTTACCCCATGTCCGCTCTCTTGATTATCTTTTTTAGGTGTGTAGATTTCATTATGTTTATCATTTGGAGTTCATTCTCCAAATCTCATATAATCTAGATAAACTATTCACCAGGCACAGTGGTGCAAGCTTTAAATCCCAGGACTTAGGATGACAGAGGCAGATCTATGTGTGTTTGAGTCCAGCCTGGTCTACAAACTGAATCCAGGACAGCCAAGGCTACACAGAGAAACCCTGAAAAATTAAAAAAAAAAAAAAAAAAAAACACAACCCGGGGGGGGGGGGGGGAATATATATAGTAATCATGAAAAAACAAAGCACTTTAAAAATCCCTTGAATGTTTTTCCATATCTCTATTGAAGTCACTATTTTGGTACCCGTGCTTAACTGAATTGAGGGGGTAGGCCTCTGTGTTTTTATCGAAACATGTAATGAAAGTTAAGTTTTTAAAAAAAAGTTTTAGTAGCTTAAATACCAAAACTACATTATGATATTTGGCATTTTGATCATTTTTTTCCCTAGTGATTGTGATGGATTAAAAACAGTGCTTACTCATCTGGGTTTTCTTCTTTCTTAGGCTGTGTAGATGATACTATAATAGTTCTGGCTGAGGAGCATGGTTGTCTGGACATTATTAAGGTTTGTTGTGCATTTGTGCTGTTCTAACAGACTATCTGAGACGGGGTCATTTTTAAAGAACAAAATTAATCATCTCACAGATTTAGATGCTGGAAATGTCATGATAAAGGTGCCCACAGGCTCGGTTTTCTGATGAGGGAAGGTATCCTCATAGAGCAAGCTGGTGGACAATATGGTTGATATGTGAAGTGTGTTAATAAGATAGCATTCCCAACATGAGGGCCTGTGGTACCCAATCACCTCTCACAGGCCACCTCTTTTTTGTTTGTCTGTTTTTATTTTCAGGAATTTTTTAGAATTTCTTACAATGTCTTGATCATATTCACCCCCAATTCTTTCCCCTAACACCCCTCAGATCAAACCCTATCTTTCTACTTTTCCAAAGTCACCACCTCCCTTTAATAACCTGTCAGCTCCAGTTGCATGGTCCATATATTCCTTGGTGTAGGTTATCTACAGCATCCTGGTCTATTTATCAGGAGCCAAACCCTTTTAATCTCCCTTCAGTAGATGCCATTAGCTGTCAATAGTCCTCAACTTCTGGCTCTTGTAAGTCTTTCCACCCACTCTTGATGGTCTCATGATGGTCCTTCAGCCTTGCAGAGGGGATGTAACATAGATATGCCTGAGCACTCCATAGTCACAGCCTCTTTGCATTTTAATCAGTTGTGAATTTCTGCCTAAACTACCATTCACTGTACAAAGAAACTTCTCTGATGGTGTCTGAGAACTAGATAATCTCCAAGTAGAGAGATGAATTTAGAGGACAGTACAGAACTATGTCCATTTAGTAGAACAGTAGTAGCACTTCATCCCAGCAATCCATTTCTTAATATCAAGTACTTGGCCTTAAGTTTCAAGACCTGAATTTAGGGGCACAGTCAAACCAGAGAAGTCTGTTTAGGAAAGTTTATTGTCATGTCAGTATACAATAACGAGCTATTAAAGCTGTACTTATTTCTCTGCAGATTTTGGCTTTTTTTATCCCCAGGGTGACTGTTAAAGTAACTTTAATTCGTTAACTTTAAGTCTGATGTAATTGTTGTCTTGGTGGCTTACTGCCTCTGTCTGTTATCAGAGGCCTAGTCCAGGAAGGTTCTAGCCACCTCCATGAACTCTAATCTAGTCCTAGAATGTTTTCAGTGTCTGAGACTTACTGCTGAATTAACTCACCCTTTCTAGCTCTTTCTGAACTGTGGCTGGCTGATTCAATTCAGCTGTTCCGGCTCAAACTCCTCTTCAATTGATTCAAACTGGCTTCTTTTGACTTCTGACTGAATTGCTCTGCTGGGCCTCATAGTAACTTTGGTGATCTGTTCTAATCTTCTGGCTCCTTCTCCTTCTCTGGCTTGTTCTCTCTATAACCTGTCTCTGTAGTGTCCAAGTGGGTTGGGTTACATAGTAATGGAAAGAGGGACTGCCTCTGACATAATCTGATTGGCCTGCTCTTTCGTCACCTCCCCCTGAGGGGAGAACAGCCTTACTAGGCCACAGAGGATGACAATGCAGCCACTCCTGATGAGATCTGATAGACTAAGATCAGAAGGAAGGAGAGGAGGACCTCCCCTATCAGTGGACTTGGGGAGGGGCATGTGTGAAGAAGGGGGCGGGGAAGGTGAGATTAGGAGGGGAGGAGGAAGGAGTTTATAGGGTGATACAAAGTGAATAAAGTGTAATTAATAAAAGTTAAAAAAAAACTCCCCCAGTAGAACTGCCTCCTCACTTTCTCCCTCTGTACTGCTTTCCCTTTTAAGTCACCTCTTTCCTCTCTCTTCTTTTGAGAGTTGGGCCTATCCTAATCTGTCAAATCTTTCCCTGATTCATCACTTTAGTCACTGTCAAACATGGCTGCTTCCTTCTACCAACTAACTTTCCCTTCAGTGTTTGGAATTAAAGGTGTGTACTATGGGCATGTCTGTATTCCAGCCAGAGGGATTAAAGGTGTGTGGTATGTCTGCATTTCAGCTGGAGCAGCCATATTTCTGGATTAAAATTCCTCTACATGTGAGGAATTAGTATAAATTTAAATAAGTCCAAATAAAAGTGTTTTGAAATCAAAACTTGTGAGATTTAAATATTTCAGTAAAATATAGTTGTAGAATTGATCGTTTGTCTATTTTTTTATCTTTGTTTATCAGGAGCTTCCTGAAAATGTGATAAATATTTTGAAGAAGTGCCTCATCTTCCACCCTTCTAAGAGGTGATTCCTTAAGACTTCAAGTTTACCCCAAGATTCTTTCCATATAGAATTGATTTAGTATTTGGTATGAGACTCATGAACTAAGAACGATAGCTGCATGTGTTGTATTTGGTATGAGACTGATAGCTGCATGTGTGGCAGTACATAATTGATACCGGCATCATAAATGTGATTTAAAGTTAACTTTTGTTAATAAAAGAAGTCAAATCATGGTCAGAAAACTGGCATTAACCAATAACGTTTCTAACTCATATTCTTACCTCAAGAAGAAAATCACTTAAACAGGAATTTGAAAAATAGCAAAAGTTTGTTGTGATTATGTATTATTTACTGAGCTTGGCAGAATTTTAATTTTGCAGTTGCTGATAAAAATTGAGAAGTATTTTTTTCACATTTTATTTTCATTTCATGGTGTCGCTTTTAATTACCTAGCTATTTCACTGCAGGCAGGAAACTTGTGTGACCATCACAGTCTAGAGAAGGAAGCTTACTAAATGATGTTTATACCTTTTAAGTATGACACTAGACAAGAATATATTCTAAGTTGTCATTAGAAAGGACACTTTATCAAGCCATTGTAGGGGCAAAGGAATAGTATTGCAAGCAGAATTTGGGGTGTTTATAAAATGGTTTCTGTAGAGCGTAAGATACAGTGTAACACAAGTAAATAATTCAACATCAAGTCATAGAGTTGTAGCTGCTAGACTCTGCTGAAGGGAGTTCCCTTGGTAGGTGTGCTAAGGAGGTATCTAAGGCTTTTAACTCCCACCTTGAATGTTCACTGTGTTTTGTAGAAAAATTTTACGACTTTTATCATGCTCAATATTTTAAATTGTCTTTCTCAAGGCCAACTCCAGATGAATTAGTAAAGGACTGTGTGTTCAGTGAAGTGTCACCTCTATACACCCCCTTTATCAAGCCTGCCAGTCTGTTTTCATCTTCTCTGAGGTGTGCCAAGTTAACTCTGCCTGAGGACATCAGTGACTTGTGTAAAGGTAAAGAGGAATAAAACATAGGTGATACTATGAGCCTTGTTTCCAAAAGAATTCCCCTAACCTGTTTACTTTTTAATTCATCAGTAATAACCCCAACACTAATGGGGTTCTGTGAATAATGCCAGGGAATTAAGAGTTATTTCTATAATATTTCAAATATAACAAAGTTTAGACTCTAGTTAATATTCCATATAATTTATTTTAAGTGCTTTTAAAGTTATCTTATCAGTAGGAAGTCTATACCATCATATTTCGCCTTGAAGCATGAGGGAAATAACTTGGAATGAGGAGAGGAATGTGGGTTTTTCCTGCCCATATTTCTTTCTTGCTGTAGAGTATAAAAATTCCTGTGCTGTACCTCTAACATGGGGAGTAAAATTTCCACACTTTGCCATAAGAAGCAGGCTTATAGCTAAGGTTGACTAATTGGATCACCATGGGCATCTGTTTGGCATATGACTTTCTCCTAAGAGCAAGAAAAGTTTATTTTGAGTGTAGGAAGATTGTCTAGAATTTTGACAAGCGCAGGCTCCCTTGACTATCTTTATGCATAAGACATTTTTAGGAGGAATTCAACCTGGTCCAAAGAGGAATCTAAATCTAGTCATGACACACCTACACAAGACACCCGACATCAGTGGATCCTAGCCTCCCAGTTTCACTATGGGCAGGACCCTTGTGTGACCATCACAGTAGAGGAGCAAGCTTACTAAATTATGTGACCTGCTTGTAGGACCACAGGATGCTTTCCTTCTCCTTACTACACCACGTCATAGAAAGTATTCCCTCCTCCCAAGTCAGTGAGGCACTGACCAACTTCTACTGAGGATAAGCCACATAAGGAAGAAAGCAGTCCTCAAGCTGTATTCCAAACTAATTCTGTTTGCCCTTCCCATTGCCAGAAGCACAGGCCAGTTTTCTCCAGTATTTACTGTGATGAACTAGCCAGGCTCCTAATGATAAAATTCACAGACTTGCCAGTGTCCCGTGTGATGGCATCTCCTGAGACTTCAAACTCTTGGACTTGTGCACACTGAGCCTGTGGCAAATCATCAATTATAGTTCTGCTTTGACTATTAGAGTTGTCTTTCCTGAGAGTTTTTCTGCTTTTGTGTCTCCTTGCACATTGTCCTGTCACTTCTCTGATCCGATGGGTAGTAGTTTACCTCCATGCCATTACCTTTCTTATGGTTCTTACATAATATTTTCAGTTTCGTCTGTTCTATCGTTAGGTGGAGTAGCAGCTTGCAAAGGCCTTACATACAGAACTGATAACCTGTTTTTCAGCTGATTTTATTATAATGTCAGCTATTATGACTATCAGCTATTAATACAGGCAAAAATTGTGATGGTAATTTTGAACAATTTACTGTTAATAGATACAGACAATGATTACCTGGCAGAGAGATCTATTGAGGAAGTTTACTACCTTTGGTGTTTGGCTGGAGGTGACCTGGAGAAGGAGCTTATAAACAAGGAAATTATTCGATCCAAACCACCTATCTGCACACTCCCAAAGTAAGTAAGGAAAATCTCTGGTAATGACAGTTTAAATCTTTGGTTGATTTTTAATTTTATTTCTTCCAGTAGATGTTCAAATTAAGTGAACTGGGAAGCTTTGAAAATACTATGCCTTGTTGGACAGGCTATAGTTTGTAATTACAGAGCTCTCACAGATACTTTTCTTTCTTATAAATATTGTCTTATAAGAAATAATTGGCTTTATTATTTATTTGAAAATCATGTGATAGTAATAAAAAGTGTGTATATCAGAGCAGTTATTTTCCAAACATTGATAGCATTGCTGTTCATATAGAAACATGAATGTGTATTTACTGAGCTTTAAAATTTCAGTTTCATAATCCAGAACAAATTTTGTAAATATATTAGGTACTTTTCTATTGCAGTGATAAAATACCATGACCAAAAGCCAGTCTGTAGTAGAATGGGCTTATTTTGGCTTATAATCAGAGGGAGAGTGTCTAATGGCTGCAGGGCATTTAGGAGGAGCAGGCAACAGAGAGGTCCCATTGTCACTTTTACACAGAAGAGAGACAGAGAGAGAGCATACAAATGAAGTGTCATAGGGTGATGAAAGCTCAAAGCCTCACATGATATACTTCTTCCTCCAAGACTACACCTCCTAAAAGTGCCATAAGCTTCCCAAACAGCTCTACTAACTGAGGACCAAGTGTTCAAATTCATGAGTCTAAAGTCAGCATTTCTCACTCAAACAACCGTAATAGATAACTATGGAATTTATCTAGTAATTATTAATTTTGTTAAATTTTTGGCTAAACCATTAGGTTTCAGCTTTACCATTTCTATTTAAATTTTTCTTTTCTTTTTTTTTTTTTTTTTTTTTTTTTTTACTGGTTTTCAAACCAAGGACCTTACCTATGGGGTGAGGCAAGTTTTCTGTTGCTAAGCTACATTAGCTCTTTCTGTCCTCTTTAAGCAGTTTCTGGATGTTCATTGTTGTTATTCCACTCACTGAGTTAAATATGAAATTAGAAATAGATTTCAGAAAATTAAAAATGATAGATACTTAAAAAAATAAGCTTCTGAAATTCTAAACCAAGTTAGATGGAAGGAAGCATGTAAGACGCTGTTTGCCAGCTGGCTGGCAGTCCAGCTTATATTAGCCAGCTTTCCTACACAGGTCAGGACTACCTTCCTAGGACTGAGAGTTCCACACAGGGCTAGGCACTCCCGCATGAATTAACAATCGAGGAAGTCTTTGACAGACATGCTGACATCCCTGTCGTGGCAATTCCTCAACTGGGCTTTGCTTTTAGATGACTTTAGACCAGTGGTTCTCAGCCTTCCTAATGCTGCAGACTTAATACACTTCCTTGTGTTGTGCTGATCCCAACCATAAAATTATTTTGCTGCTATTTCATAACATTAACTTGGTACTGTTATGAATTGAAAGGAAAATATCTGTGTTTTCCAATGATCTTGGGGGACCTCTGTGAAAGGGTTGTTCAAGACTCAAAGGGTCGAGACCACTGTTCTCACAGGGGGAGAACCACTGTTCTAGTCTTATCAATGACAGTTAAAGTAATAAGGACAACATATGGCAAGTTTATAGCTAATCAAGAGATAGAAAAAAATCAGCCCTGTTTGGAAAAACTTCAACTAGCACTTACCATTTTTCAAAACTTTGTTTTTTAAGGCAAGGTCTCATGTAACCCATCCTAGACTTGAACTCACTATGTAACTGACTGTCCACAAACGCCTGATACCTCCACCTCTACCTTCCAAGCCCTGGGGACCCAGGCTTGTGCACCATGCTGGGCTTGTTTTTAAAATTAACTCTCTACTCTGATGAGGCTATGATAGGAAAATTTTATTTTTAGAAGAAATAAATTAGATTTTTTTTACGACTATTATAACAACTTTTTTCTTTCTTTAAATCTTAGTTTTCTCTTTGAAGATGGTGAAAGTTTCGGACAAGGTCGAGATAGAAGCTCACTCTTAGATGACACCACTGTGACATTGTCCTTGTGCCAGCTAAGAAATGTAAGGTTGAAAGTTTGCCAAATATGCTTCATATTTTTAAAACAATACCTTAAAGATAACACACAACACTTTGCATTCATGCCTGATTTTTTAATACACAAGAAAGTTTCTGTAGTGTGTGTTCAGAGGAGAGCTGCCAGAAAACAGCTGTGTAAACTGTGTTAACCCCAGCCTACACATGCTGTCTGACTACTCCAAACAGTGTGTCTTCTCATTATCATCGAATAAGCCCTCCTATTTCTCCACTTGGTAAAATATGATACTACATTGTAAATGATTCCAGTTGATTAGATCCTGGTGTTTTAAAATGAATAATACTAATTACAGTTGCCTGATTACAGTACAGTTGTGAGTTCTGTGCATTACATGATCATATATTTCATCAGTATTTCTGAGTGACTTCTCACTTAAAAACTTTAAAAAGTATATCCCAGAAATTGTCATTTTAGGCTATATTTCATGCAACTATCCTTGAAGACTATATGGAAAAGCACCTCTTTGTTTTTGGTAATCTTTAATAAATGAATATTTTAATAAGTACCTCTTTTTAATCACTTATATTTATATTAATGTTAGTAATTTGGTGTTATATTGAGGAAATGTTAGGAACGGTACTTGTAGAGGGGAAAGGGAAGGCCTTACTAGTGTGTCCCTTGTTAGAAGTGTGCTATGTTTACATGTTCCTGAAGCAAACTAATCTGTAGATTCTGTTTTTTTGGTTTTTTTTTTGTGCTGCTGTTAATTCATAATTTTTACACTACTATTCTTTCTAAGGAGGTATTACTCTTGCCACCCAACATAATAATTTATAAATATTTTGTTTTTAAATTCACAGAGATTAAAAGATGTTGGAGGAGAAGCATATTATCCATTACTTGAAGATGAGTGAGTATATGTTCCTTCATTTGACATTATTTTCTGTTTCCATAAAATTAATGAGAAATTTGTAGATTTTTAATAGGACATTTATTAAGTAGTGTTTTAATATTGTCTATCATTATTTTTACTTTTGTTGTTCCTTTACAGCCAATCAAATTTACCTCATTCAAACAGCAGTAATGAGTTATCTGCAGCTGCCACCCTGCCTTTAATCATCAGAGAAAGGGATACTGAATATCAACTAAACAGAATTATTCTCTTTGACAGGCTATTGAAGGTAGGAATTCTAACATATCAAGTGTTAATGATGGCCCGGATGAGTCTTCCTTTAGTATTGTTAATTCGATAGCTTGAAATTATGAGTAAAGTAATTCTTATGGTTTCTTTTCTGATTAACTTGTCTAGCTTATTGAATTGATAGAAGCTCCAAATAAGTTATAAAAGTCAATAGGAAAAGGTACCAATAATGATAGAAATAGTGTATGAAATATTAATACAGTTAGTCAACAACTATACTACCCTCCCTTTTACTAAGAATGATAATGCACAGTTTGGGTGGGATATTCTTCCGTATCACTAACAAGACCAGCGTGGGCTTGTAAAGGCTGAGCTTCTTTATTTAGAGCAGGTAGGAAATAGTTTGAAAAGCAAATTTAAGATGCATATCAAGTACCTAAGACATAAATATCCTGTGTGCTAGTAATTATCTTCTAGAGTCCCTTCAAATTACAGATTTATAGACAGAAAAGTGAGCTAGACCTTCTAGAAGTCACAGTAGCACATGCTCAGCACATACCTTCTACACCACGAGAATTTTAAAGGTTCTTGTATCCATTGTCTTCTTTGATCATAAAACACAAGAACCCTGCTTTTCAGTCACTAACAATCTGCCCAGAGCACAAAACCGATAGGGATGATTAGGAACAGGTAGAATGAATTCCTGTTTTTTAATTGTATTACTCATCCTTTAGAGATAGTTAGTGGTGGATTCATCTCATTGTTTATATAGATAAAACCAGACCCAGTGGTTATTAATCTTAGAAATCTATTAAAGGACTCTTCAACTTTATCATTAATATATATTACTAAGTATCCAAACTAGAATATGGCACCTAGTATTTGCTATTTCTTGCCTTGATACTATTTTTAAATTATTATTTTAAAATTTTTATTGATGATGATGATGATATGTGTGTGTGTGTGTGTGTGTGTGTGTGTGTGATGTATGTGTGGGCATCTGTACCAGAGTGTGCATGTGGAAACCTTGCATGTGGAAACCAGAAGGCAACTTTGTAGAGTTCGGTCTCTCCTTTTACCTTTCCATGAATTCCAGGAATCAAACTCAGATTATGAAGCTAGTGCAGCAAGTGACTTTACATACTGTGCCATTTCTCAGACTCCCTTTCAATCTTTTAATCATCTATATGTCAGTTAAAAAATTGACATATACAGCTGTGTATATTTATGAGGTACCAAAATCCTTTTTTTTTTTTAAATACAATATACTCAAGTCAAAATAAGCTTATCTGTTTCTTCAGACACTTACCATTTCTTGTGGCACAATATTTATATAATTTTTGTGGCTTCCTTGTAAGATACAATGTACTCTTATTATTTATAGATAGCCACTCTTCTGTGTGTTAGAGCGCTAGTATTAATTTCACTGATGTAACTGCAAACATGAGTAACTTTTTCTGTCCTCTCAATACATATGAGTGAAATCATATGTATTTATTTTTTCTGTGTGTGGCTTATTTGATTTAACATAGAATCTTTCTGTTTTATGCATGTTCTCACAAATTATAGGATTTTGTGTACGGGGTCTGAGTAATATTTCATTTACAATATATGCCACATTTCTTCTGTGTACTCATCATTGATAGACATAAATTAATTCTATTTGTTGCATATTATGAATAATGGTATTTCAGTAAACACATCACTGCAGATGTCCATCTCCTTTGTGATTCCATCTCCTTTGCATTCATACCCAGAGTTGTAATTTGTGGATCATAATAAGTGTTATAGGTTGAGTGTAAACTGTCCTACACAAGCTTGTGCCTGTCGACACTTGGTCACTGTTTTAGGATGTTGTGGAACCCTTAGGAGGTGCAGTGTAGGTGGAGGACATGAGGTCTAGCAGTAGACATTTAAGGCTCAGCCCTAATTCCGGCAACGATCTCTTTGCTTCCTTATTGGCATTCAAAAAGTAGCTGCTATCCACTCAAAGCACCCCTTGCCTTTCTCACTGTTGATAGACAGACAGTATTGCCCCAATCTGAGAGTCAAAGAAACCTCTCTTAAGTTCTTTCTGAGAGGCATTGTCAGTGATGAGGAAAGTCAGATAGGTCTGTCTTTAACTTTTTGAGGCAATTCTACGTTGTTTCCCATAATGGGGCTATAACTTGAATTGCCACCCAGAGTGTGCCTCAGTAGCAGCCACAATAACCAAGAGGTGAGGTGCTTCTTTGTGGTTTCAGCTCTGCATTTCCCCAGGGTTGGTGCTGCTGAGTGTTTTCAGTGGCCTGTGCCTATGTGCAGATCTTCTTGAGCGTCTGTTTAGAACTACTGATAGTTTGGGGAGAAAGGTTGTTTGTTTTTTTACTATTGATCCTTTGGTTTCCTTACTGTATTCTGGATGATCAACTCCTTGTCAGTTGTAAAGGTTGCCAATATTTTCTACAATTCCATAGACTATTTCTTACCTAAATTTCTTAATTTACTATGTAGTAGCTTTTACCTGTATGTATCTATTTTTCTTTCTATTTTATGTACTTCTAAAGTAATTTAATTAAAAAAGTAATTTGTTAAGTTTAATATCCCTGTGTTTTTTCCTCTGGTATTTTCTTCTATTTTACACTTTTTGACCTTACATTTAAGTGTGGAGTTGATTTTTGGAGTCAGTGAGAGAAGAGTTTGGTTTCAGGGATCTGTTGTTGTTTGGATTTTTTGTTTCTTTGTTTGGATTTGGGGGGTAGTGTTTTTTGTTGGTGATTTTTGTTTTTTTGCTTGTACATACCTAATTTTCCTAATGCATTTACTGAAGAATTCTCTGTGGAGGCCTGCGTTTATATCCTACTTGCTATTCTGTTCTATTGTTCCCTGTCAAGTTTTAGACTTGATACCATTGTTTTATTACCTTTGTAGTAAATTTTGGAATCAGAGAATGTAATATATTGTGCTCAAAACTGGCTTGCTTTTGTTTTTATTCACTTTTTAGGATTTTTTTCTTATTTTGTAAAGAACATCATTGATACTTTGACAGAGATTACATTGACTCTGTAGATTGCTTTGGTCAGTATATGTATTCTAATAATATTTAATGATCAGTCCATGAATCAGAGATATTTTTTCCACTATTATGTGTCTCTTTCAATATCTTTTCTGGGTTTTGGATTTTATGGTTTGTTTGCTTGTGACAGGCCTTTATTATGTACCCTAGGCTAGCTTCAAACTCATCATCCTCCTGCCTCATCCTTCTGAGTGCTGGGATTGCAGGCATATGACACTATCCTCAGCCATTTCAGTTTGTTTAATCAATTTTATAGAATCAGTATAGGGATAATTCATCTTTTTATTAAATTTATTTTATAAATTCTAGAGACTATTTTATAAATTAGTTTATAAAATAAATTTTATGAATTCTAGATAGTATTATATATACTGTTCTTAGAGTTCCTTTCTTCATTTCTCTTTCAGGTACTTCATTATTGATATAATGAAACTGATTTTTATCTATTGATTTCATATACTACAACTTCACTAAGTTTATTCATTAGTTGTAGTACAGTTTTGGAGGAATCGTTATGGTTTTGTAAATATAGGTCATGTTTCTGTAAGCAGTTTGTACGGCCTTTATTTCTTTGTCTTGCCCGATTGCTGACTAGGACGTTTGTAATCTTCCGGATAAAAAGAGTGAGAGTGAACATCTGTCTTGTTCCACATCTTGGAATGAATGTGTTCGGCTTTTCTCAGTGTAGAATGATGTTAGCTATGGGCTTGTTCCCATGGCCTTTATTATACTGTGGTACGTTCTTTTCCATCTAATTTGTAAAGATGCTTTTCATTGAAGTGGTGGTAGATCTTGTTAAAATTTTTCTGTGTTTATTGATAGGATAATATAATTATTGTTCTTCATTGTGTTAATCTTGTGTATCCTGTTTTTGCTTTGTGTGTGGTGAACCATCCCTATGATGAATCCCACTGGACTATGGTGAGTCTTTCATGTGCTATGGAGCTCAGTTTATAGTATTATGTTGAGAATTTGAACTTTATTCATTAGGGATGCTGGTCTATAGTTTTTCTTGTCTAGTTTGGGTATGGGGCAATGTTGTGCTTTAGAATGTGTTTAAATAAATTATTCATATTCATATTTAAAATAATTTGAGAATTGATAATTACCTTCTCTAAGCATTTGGTAGTATTTCAAAGTCTAGTCCTAGACTTTACTTTGAGATGGGATCTTTTTACTATGGATTTAGTCCTGATAACCTATTTTTGATCGGTTCAGATTTCAAATTTGTTCATCATTCAGTCTTTAAAGGGTATGGGTCCACTTTAGACTTTGTCCATTTCTTCCAGTTTATCAAAGATTTTAGTGATGGTTGTTCCTAATCTTTGACAATCCTTTGTATTTCTGTGGTATCGGTCATATAGCTTTACTTTTATCTCTGATTTTATTTGAATCTTTGCTGTATTTTAATGAATAATTTGTATTTATTAGTGTGTGTGAGAGAGAGTCAGAGTGTATGTTGTGTTATTGTTTATGTGCACATTTTGTGTGCAGTATTCATAAAGGCTAGAAAAGAGTACTGGATCCCCTGGAGCTGGAGCTGGAGCTGGAGGCAGCTGTGAGTTAACATGCAAGTGCAGGAACTAAACCCTGCTGTCAGAAAAAGTAAAAAGTCATCTTTACCACTGAGCCATCCCTGTCCCCTCTATGTGCTCTCTTCTTTTTTAAAGTATAACTAAGGGTTTACTTTCTTTTTAATTCTTAAAGATATTTTATTTATCTTTTTACTATTTTGTGGAGTCTATCTCATTTATTCTTGTTCTAATGTTTATCATTTAACTTCTTCTAACTTTGAGTTTGGCATTTCTCTTCTTGCAGTTGCCTTATATAGATTCTTGATGTGAAATGTTTCTGCTTGTTTAATATGGTTACTGATTTCTGTAAATTTCCTTCATAGAACTAATTTTACTGTATTCCATAGGTTTTTGGTATGTTGTTTTCATTATTGTTTGTTTCAAAAAATGTTTTAACTTTCTTTATAACTGGATCCATGGATAGTTAAGAAGTATACTGTTGAATTCCTATGTATCTGTGTTATTTTCAAACATTTTTGGTGATTAGTCTTTAGTTTTGTTGTATTGTTGTTGGTAAATATGCATGATATGATTTTAACTTTTGACTATTTTATTATTATCATAGGCTTATCCATACAAAAAAAATCAAATCTGGAAAGAAGCAAGAGTTGACATCCCTCCACTTATGAGGGGTTTAACCTGGGCTGCTCTTCTGGGAGTTGAGGTAATTAAACAAAAAGATTGGAAATTGATGAGTTATGAATAGAAAGAAAATTAAATGGATAGTTCTACAGGGATTCATATTTGTCTCCAAATGCTTGGGAGACTGTGGGAATGGAGCATGAGTTTGAGGTCACCCTGGAATACATGGAAGAATCTTATCTCAGAAAACTGTAATGATTTCATCTGATTTCACTTCTTTGAATAGAAAATGATATACTGAAATATGAACATCAAAATATTTGATAATTTTAAGTAGAAAAATGCTTAACAAGAATATAACATATAATTTTATTAATGTATCCCCAAAAATCATGGAGTGTGTTTTATGTTGGCCAACTGTTGCTGGCTGTGGGCCCTGCCCTACAGTGTAGCCTCAGTTATATTTAATCTTTACAGTCCTCTGTTAGCCGAATTTTTTTCTTAATTCTTGATTCTCTTAATGATAGTCTATAAATTTCTTTGAATGTGTTTGGTTGCTTCACAAGACTGCCTGTTGTTCTTTGCCACATAATAATATTTAGTGCTGTAGAACTATATTATACCCCAATCCAGAAAGACTTATATTATTAGATTTTTCAATCTGTTATTAACAGATATCCCAAAGAAATTTATCCAGTAAATACTTTGACTAAATTCTTGGCTTTCTCCACCATTGTAATAAGTCATAAAAACAAAAACTTTTTACTGTGTGATCTTGTAGCACATGATTGAAATTTAAAGTAGTGTATTCAGACGTTGTTTATTATGAGCCTAATGTTTCTATAATCACAGGATATCCACCTTACCCCAAATGTTCCTGGCACTATCATTCTGCTGAACAAATTTATTTTATTTGCCTTGCCAACTTTAACAGAAATATTTATAAGATAAACCTCTGTAAACCTCTAAAATAAAATCTCCATCATAAAAATTTTGATTTATGAGTTAGTAAAATGGTCAATGATGTAAAAACATTCTAAGCTGTGGACTAATTGTAGTTTACGTATACCTATCCATGTTTAGGTAGGTCTTCAAAAGTAGATTTTTATAAGAAATGTTTTTTTCCTTTTTAGCATCATTAATCCAAAAATTTGAAATTTAAAAGCTTTTGGGTATTGACATCTTGCTGAAAAACAAAATGGGTTTTTCATTTTTAGATTAGAAATATTGTACCAGTAAATTTTAAACAAGTACTCTAAATATAAGAAAAACTATAAATTAAAATGCTTATGATCCCAATATATTAATGCATACTACCGATTTTGTTAAGGATATAATAAATTAATTTTGTTTTTTGCAGGGAGCTATTCATGCCAAGTATGATGCAATTGATAAAGACACTCCAATTCCCACAGATAGACAAGTAAGGTGTTCCTGAGACAATTGTGCCAATTCTTTAAAGTTAAAAGGTGTGAGAAAAACTCTTCCTTTTATTATGAATATTCTGACACTGCCTGATATGTGCTAGAAAAAGTTTCTTTTATACTCAGAAACTAATGTGTGATTTTCCAAAGACTAATTTCAAAACTGAAAAACTTTTACCAGTGATTATAAAGATGAGATGTTGTGAAGCAGTCTCTTTTTGTGTGTGTTGAAGAAGCATGGTCTGCGGGATCATGTGTTACAGTTGTACCTCCTTCTTTACTGCTCACAGATTGAAGTGGATATTCCTCGCTGTCATCAGTATGATGAACTGTTATCATCACCAGAAGGTCATGCAAAGTTCCGGCGTGTACTGAAAGCTTGGGTCGTTTCTCATCCTGATCTTGTATACTGGCAAGGTAACTTTTCAGTTACTAGGAGTTTTCTTCAAGTCTTTTCCCCTTCATTTGGAGGGGAACAAAACATCTAAAATTCCAATGCATTTTGAAGATGTTGATTTTAAATCAGTTATCAAACAAACCTGGTCTAAATGCTTTGAAGATATCATTTTACTTGATATTTAAAAGTAAACCACTTATAGTGGTATCAATAGGAAAGTAGAGTCTGATCTTGTGGAAACAATTTTAATCATATCAAAGGAGCAAAATAAAAGATGTTAGGCTATTTGAGAATGTTACTAGTCAAGAATTCCTAGTATATGATTATTATAGTTATTAGGAATGGAATATCACCATAAATTGCTTATTTCATTTGTTCACTTTTTGTCCCTCGTATCTTTAATGTCTGTAGCCCTTGATTTTTAACAGTTTCCATTGTTATCTGTATGACTGTTAATTTATAAATGAGAGACCTATTCAATCCAACCCTATTTTGAGTGTTTTGTCATGAGCAGTGGTTTGATTTTGAGTTTTATATTGCTTGCTCTCCACTCTTATAGGCATGATTATTTTTTGTGCAGCACACCTTTCAGAGTGCATTTCCTCCTAACCCATTCTATGTACATTTTGTGTGTTCTTTCAGCATAACAGATGAATTGCACCATTATCAATAAAATAATATGTGTGTGTATTTTAATTTTTTAACTAATTTTTAAGGTGTTTTTTTTTTTTCATAATCCTGAAAAAAAAAAAAAGCTTCTATGGCAAAGATCCATCTCTTAAATGAGAAAACATATTGAAGAGGCTAAATCATTAACAAAATCACATATGGTTTGGGTCAGAATTGTGACTATATCCAAAGCCCTCTACCATATTTCTATGTCACTCTTGCTGTGCTGCTCTTTGCCTCATAATCATATTGATGGTAGTAATAACCAATCTGTTTTGGACACTAATGATATGTCACACCTTATTACTTATTCTGCATAAGTACTAATGACAGAACAAATGTCCATTTGTAGATGTACTTACAATGCTCAATTTATTTGGAAGGTATGCAAGAATAGAGTAAGATATCTCAATGTATTCATTTTACTCTTGTTTCATCTTGTCTACATCAGGTCTTGACTCACTTTGTGCTCCATTCTTATATCTAAATTTCAACAGTGAAGGTAAGCTTTAAAAAAATAATTGAGAGATCCTTATGTATATTTTTCTTAAATATCCACATATCATAAAATATTGTGGAATTGTGTTAACGTCCTTTGTAGGGTGAAAATAACTAATTTAGTGTTGAAGGGTATTCTTTGTCACCAGGCCACATCTAAAAGTTTGGCGGGAATTGGGCTATTTCTGCTAAATTAATTTACCCACTTTGATGACCATTTTTATGGGTCTTTGGAAAAAGATTCTAACTTTTCCAGAAATTACTGTTAAATATATTTTAAATATATTAAATATATTTTCTAAATAATTTATTAACCAATAAGAATTGGCTTTTTATATATCCCACACATATTATTCCAAATGTACTTGTTTAATGAAGACTTCTTAACTCCCTTTCTGAACTTAGGCAACACATTGTGGACTAGGAAATCAAGCCAAGGTCCGTTTTGTTCTCCTAAATGAGTACCCATATGCTAGTGCTGCCAATCTTTGTGTGACAGTCTCTTTGTTAATGGCAGGTGTTTCACTCTCTGTCCCTCTGTTTTAGGATTTTTTTATAGTAGATTTTTAAAATACTTTGTTAGATTTGATAGAATCAAATTTAAAATTCTGAATTATATCAATCATAGAGTATGATATCCAACATTACCTCAATGCATAGGTATCTTACCTCAGAATCTCCATTTTTTTATATGCTATCATATCATAAGCAATAGAAAATTCTAGAATTGAGAAGATATGGCATAATCTCCAAAAACCTAGATCTCTCTCTCTCTCTCTCGTTGAATGATCCTGTAGTGCTCTGTTCTGAAGAGCTCACTCAGTAGTCTGCTCTTCACTTTTGCACCTCTACTCAGGTACGTCTAACTATTAGTCACAATCCAAGAGTAATAAAAGATCTGTAGTTGAAGGCACAAGTTACGACAAGTATTCCTAAATCCAGGAACGTTGCTTGTATCAGCAGTAATTAAAGACTATGTTGTTCCTGTACCTTGTTAGTAATTTAAAAAAATAAATAAGTTCAGGCAATTAAGATTTTATTATTACAGAATAATGATTGCCACAATTTTGAAATTGAAGTTACTGGAATGTTTATCTTTAGTGTCTCATTTTTTTAAATAGCAGAAGCTATTGTCCCTATAATTTTGTGTTTCCAGCACTTCTTACCATAATTGTTATTTAATAGTAGACTCAAAGAATGTGTTCTGAGTGAATAAGAACTGGCCATTACTCTGTTAACTGATTGTGTATTTCCTTTATTCTTTTTAGCTTTGGCTTATGCGTGCATGTCTGCTTTTATTCCCAAATACCTATATAACTTCTTCTTGAAAGACAATTCACATGTAATACAAGGTAAGCAAATGCTTTTTCTTGTTTTCATATAGGAACACATTTCTATCAAAGTAACCAATCTTCAGGATAATAATTTTGATCCAGTAGCATATGTTGATGGTTCATCAAAATCCAGGAAGAAAGATCAGAGATTTTTTTTTCTTACATATTCACAAGGAATTATGCTCCTTTTCTAATGACTGTATATTATCCACTCTCAATTCAGTTTAGATGCAGACATGTTTATTTAAGAATTAGAGTTGTCTCTACTAATTAAAGTGAAACAAGCTATCTTGGATGAATCTGTTAATTATAGATTCAATTATATTGAAAATAATTTTTATAGCTTATACTATAGGCATATTTTAACCATGAAATTTGTCACATTATGCATTTTTGAATTGTTTTATAAGATATAGGTATATTCACATGGAAAGATAAGGCTGCGAAAAGTCAGGATAGAAAAGATATTTACCATGTAAGTCTAGGTTATGTAATTGCCCCAATATTTGTGTGTTTATTTTTCTGAGTCCTTTGAGGAAAAGAACAACATAGTTTTCACAGTGATGGCCCTGTCATTTCTAGCAATAACATGTTGCTCTAGGTTGTGAAAATAGCAATCATGGCTATTTTTGAAAGCTAAACATTGCACTAACCACACCAGCTTCTGTGTGTCAAACCAGTACAAATTAGGATATATTATCCCACCACACACAGCCATTAAGGAAGTCCCTGAAATAAGGAGGAAGACAGACATAAAAAGTCCAGCTGTCAAATGTGATATGTACAGGGAAGTGTCCTTTCTTACTGTATATAAGGTGTGTATGTTTGGAAGGCAGATCAAAATCATCTTTCCTGTGGTGATTTAGAAAAGCCAGTTTAATGAACATTCATGATATTTTTATTTTAATGGTAGCTATGTGGAGAAAGCAAGGATCATATGAAAAGTCGAGTCTGGCAAGAATGTCTGGAATCACATAACTAAGATTTTTTTTTTCCAGTATGGAAAATGTTCTATCTTAACTAGAAGGACTATTAGTTGAGCTTGCTTGCTCACTTAAAAATAATAATAATAGTTAGTATATATAACTCCAAGCCAAGATTACTTTACTAGGGCTGAGGCTATAACAACTGGTAGAGTGCTTGCCATAGTGTGTATGAGGCACTGGTTCAAGCCCCGACACCACCACATGTTTTAAAAAACCATTTTTCTCTTTCTCTTCTCTTGAGCCCCCTCTTCCCATTTAGTTATAAAGATTTGTGATTTGTTCTTGGCTTTTAATAAGGAGATCAAGCTTTTATTGCCACTTTCTTAGTGGGAAGTAACTTCACCTGTGAGCTTCCTTAGCGTGCCCAAAGTCAGCACACCCTTATCTGTTTCATTTGGCTTAGGTTTTTACTCTTACTGACCAACTGATCTGAAGCTTGGTGTAGAGCTCAAAGCAGGCTTTTAGTCCTCCTGCTTGTGGCATGCTGGAGTTGGAAGCATACATGACCCCTGGCAGCATCTCTCTGCCTGTTGATGTGACCGTCATCTTTAAGATAAACTGGAAATCTTCTGGGAGATAGTACTTAGCAAATGAAGATCGTCATTTCTGAGCAGTAAGCAGACATGGTCATTTGCTTTGTCACCTTCACGTCTGCTTTCCCTTGCTAAGAGTGCCAATGCTAAAAAGCTGGTCAGAGAGGAAACTGGCATGGATTCTTATGTGGAGATTTTGAAAGTTCATCTCTCATGCAGGTTTTAAAAACAAATATGGCTTATTTATATACAGCCATAAAAATTATGACATTATCAGGTGAAATTCTTACATCACCATTCAGTGTATGTCATAAGTGAAAGAGAGCAATAAATTTTAATATATAGAAATTAGAATGCACAATTCATTATCATTATATACCTCATTTCAAAAGCTAAAAATACAAGGTTTCTTATTAAAATATAGCAAGTTTATATTTAGTTTTATGGAATTGTATTGAAACTACACTTGAGGCATTAGGGTGATTTTATAAATATCTTCATTTTAAAAAATGGAGTAGTGTTCACCTTTAGAAAATACTGTCTTTGAGACTATTTTAAGAACCTTGATTTTCATCTTTAGTGCTTTAACAGTTTAATATCCCTTTAAAATGGGTTTGTAAGGGCTGGAGAGATGGCTCAACAGTTCAGAATACTGTTCTTTCAGAAGACCTGGGTTTAAATCCCAGGAACCACATGGCAGTTCAGAACTGTCTAACGGCAGCTCCAGAGGAAACAATGCCCTCTTCTCACCTCATCAAGTTTGAGCGTAGTATGCTGACATTCATGCAGACAAAACACCCATGCATATTAAATATATATGTACATATACACATACATATAATCAGTAATATTATAGGTAGAATCTTTTGTTTTAACCTAGCTACTATTTTATTTCTTAGTAACTAACATTAATTCCTTCAGTTTTATCTCAAGTCAAAGGATATGTAGAATTGGATATTTTGTTACTTTGAGAAATTTTTAATTCTATTAGGAGAGAATGTATAATATACAGTTCTCACTTATCTTCTCTCATGTTCCCCTTGAAATAAAGAGCTGCCACTGAGCTCCATTTGAAAGTTTGTTCTCAAAAGCCCAACTTTATAAATTTTATTTACATAGGTGAAGTTATATTCAATACAATAATACACAAATCTTAGTATATATCTGTGTGTGTGAGTATGTACATACTGTAATAAATCCAGCCACTGGTGTTTGGCAGAACACAAGGAAAATATGGGTGAGGTTTCTTCAGTAAATCCTTAATTAGCTGTGTAAATGCACATAGTAATTAAGTTTATCAGGCTTAAGTAGGAATGATGTTTAATAAACACAGGCATGGCTGTGGAGAATTGCCTGAAGCATGAATTTCTGCTTTTAGTGGAAACATGGTTTTTCGAAGTTAAAGTTAACAACTATAGCTTATCAATATACAATTGAGTACTTATAGTGGCTGATGATACCTAGTGCTGGCTTTTGGATAAATTGAAATTATAGATGTGCTACGATAAGCAATGGTGGGAAAGCAGTTAAAGAAAAGTTAAGTGTCAAAGTTTCCCTGGGCCTTTAAATATGTTGTAGATCTTCAACTTGATTAGTGACTTGAAACTCATTAAAATTGTACCATTTTGTTCTAAAGTAGTATCATAGGATCGTGGGCAAATTGAAATCTGTTGTATTAGAATGAAGAGCAAATCAAGAAATGTGTTAATTGGACTCCCATTCTTTATCTAGAACGAGTATACAATACTCATATTAGGTCAATGGTGTGATATATCATTGAATTATCATTGATATATCATTGAATTGAGTACAGCACTGACATTTCCTTTGTTGACTTGATGCTGCTTATTTAAAGTACACACAGTATTTACGAGCTAGTAACTGTAACATACAAGGGATAATTAGGAACAGTTTTAGTTGAGAAAAAAAATAATAGGTTACTTTTACTTAAAATTTCTTAAAATAACACACATACTTACATAAACTGATAAAACAATGAAACATTGTTTTCAAAGATGATTTCACCAAATAATTCATTTTAAAAATCAGTTATTTGAAAACTTAAATTATCAAAAGAAAGCTTTCAACTTTTATTGTTATTAGGATTTCAGTTTCAAAAAAGAAATTGATCTCATTTGTCTTGCTGCTGGAGAGATGGCTCAGGGGTTAAGAGCACTGGCCGCTCTTCTAAAGGTCATGAGCTCAACTCCCAGCAACCACATGGTGGTCTACATACAGACAGAATACTGTATACATAATAAATGAATGAATGAATGAATAAATGAATGAATAAATAAAACTTTTTTTAAAAAAGGCTCATTTGTCTTGTATTTGTTTTGTTTTGCGTTGCAGCCCAGGCTGTCTTAGACTTCACAATCTTCTCTGTTCTGCTCCGAGAGTGTTGAGATTATAGGCTTTAATTTTTGTTTTTAATTTTTCACGTAAAAAGGAAGTTACTGATTTGGAACACATGCTACCACCATCCCATTTAGATCCTTTAGTATGTACAGAATAAGTTGTGAAAATAGTTACCTATTGAAACAATCAAGAAATTAAGAATTCATTCTTCTTATTGAACCTTATAACTTGTAATAGGGTTAGAGCAAAAAAAGAGGTATGTGATTGTGTACACGTGTGTGTGCACATGCATGTGGTGTGGTGTGTGTGTGTTGGGGGGTCCGTCTGTGGCCAGCAGTAAAACAATCCGCAGAGAAAAGAATGAAACTCAGCTCAGCCCAACTTGGATAGCCATCACTGGTTCAAGCTTCAGCAGTCAAATAGCACAATTTTGGAAAAAAAAGTTTTCTAAAACTTTTGATGACAATTAACTTTGTTGTCCCATGTGTATAACAAACTTAAGACATGTTTATATTGAAACTCTTTTACAAAGTACATGTGTCTTCCTCCAAAAAGATGGGTTCTGTTGACTTAGAAACAATGCTCAACATAGGGTCTAGGGAGAACGGACTGAAGTTAACATAAACTTTGTTGGAGCCGGGATTGGCTTGATCTAAGATAACATAGAAGTCACTTAGTCTGTTCTAAAGTACAAGTGACACCTTATAAAGGTGGTTTTATAGACAAGAAGCTATGCTCAAGATTTAGGGGGCAAAGTCTTGGATAAACAAGCATAATATTCTGGGGAATTCAGGTGAAGCCTGGCCTTACAGATAGCAAAGGATTACCAGGTTGTAAACTACCTCTCTCCCATGGTCGGGGAGGAAGACCAGTAAACATGTCCTTCCTTTGAAGAGATAAGCCCCAGTATTTAACTTTCCTGGCTTCTCCACTTCTCCAGTACTTATTTGTGTGCACAAGGACTTTTTCCTTCTACTGTGTGTGTGTGTGTGTGTGTGTGTGTGTGTGTGTGTGTGTGTGTGTCTGTGTGTGTCTGTGTGTGGTGTGTGTGTGTGCAGGTGTGAATGCAGGTACTCTGTCTACATGTCTTTGGATACTGGAAAATGAAGTTAGGTGTAAATCTAAATTGTTCTCCACTGTATCTTTTGAGACTGGGTCTCTCACAGAACCAGCTCATTAGTAACCTGTGTACTCAGCCAGGCTCCTTATCCTCAGTGCTGGGATATTAGATACCCAGCTTTTACGTGAGTGCTGGGGTCTGAGCTCAGGTCCTTGTGCTTGCACAGCAGGCTTTTTACACACCATGCTATCTCTCTGGCCCAGCAAAAGATACTTTCAATTACCTACCATTTACTTACTTCTGTGAATTTTTGTAAGTTAATTAAATTAATATTTCTACATATACCAAACATAGAACTGCAGGTGGGAAAATTTTACAACTAGGAAAGATGTTGAAATTTGTGTGTAGAAAGCAGTTTGAGGCACAGTCACTCACCTGTGAGTGCTCATCTTTCACTGTTCCTTACTTCCAGGTCTGTTACACCTTCTAAACATTCAACCAATAACAAAGGTATTTACTGTTACTAGAGCAAATGTATTTGTACACTTTGGCTGGAAAACATCAGTCATCCTGTGCTTAATTTCTGACTCAAGAAATAACAAATAGCTCTAAAAGTATAGTGTAATATAGCTTATGTTTTAATACTTAGCATTGTGATTCAAGTAACAACAGAATGGAAAATTGTATGTTAAAGTCCCTTGCTCTGTGGAAGAGTGAGATTCTCAGCGTAAACGAATGTCCACTTATTTGAGACTTTGAGGTAGTTGGTGAAGACAGTGATTATCTTCAGCATCATTGTCTTTTCAGAGTACCTGACCGTGTTCTCCCAGATGATCGCATTCCACGATCCAGAACTGAGTAACCATCTCAACGAGATTGGCTTCATTCCTGACGTAAGTGTGCCTACTGCATTAACAAGACATGAGTTTGTAAGTGATAAACTCAAGCAGAAATCACAGGATAAAAGATGCTATTTTTAAACTATTGGTCGTCATAATATGTCTACACAAGTTGCTGAAAGTAATTATAGCTTTGTGTTTGTGTTGTGTTTCCTTTTCATGTCCTTATCGGAGGAAAGAGTCTCTTGTTCCTTCGCACGTTTACTATTAAGTTTGTTGCTTGGAATCTATTGAAGAGTGGGTTTAAAAGTGATATTTTTATTAATTCTTCACAAATTTCATGCAATGTATTTTGATAGTATTTACCCCCTCTCCCATCTCCTACCAGATTCAATTCTCCCTCTCCTGAATATCCAACTTTGTGTGTGCACTCCCTCTTCCTCTCTCTTTTTAAATTCATCAAGTCTGTTTTCTGCTGCCCAAATCCCATGAGTGTGGGGCATGGTCAGTTTACGAGGGAAAAAAAGGGGGGGGGGGAGGTTCGTTTAAATTGTTCTGTGAAAGGCTTTCTTCTTGACTTGATTTTATTTATTGATTGATTGATTGGTGCCCTTCGAAGTAGTATACAGCCAGGACAAATTCTGGGCATTCTGGAACCCACCACTGGTGTTGATAGTAACCTCCTGATCATGCCTCTGCACACATTTCTAGAAACTTATTCCATATCTATTTCCAAATGCCCTTTAGGTCATGGTTTCTCACTATATTGAGAATCTGGCAACAAAAAGAAAACCGAGGATGAAAGTGATTATGTGTTAATCCATAAAAAAGTCCCATTTATAACTGTTCCTTGCCACAGAAAGTAAGCAAACAAAACTTCTTACTAAATAAGAAGGAAAGTTAGCTGGATGATTTTAAAAACGACAATTTGAAGAGCTGCAAATTAATTTGAAGAGCTACAGGCCAGTTGGTGGCTGCTGAGAGAAGATAAATGAGTCTTCCTCACGGGTGAGCCTCCTGATTTTGTTATCCAATATGTTGTTGGTTAGCCCTAAAAAGCATAACGAGCAACAGAAAATGGATTCAGCAGGCTGTATTTATATATTAATTCATATGTATATATTACAATAATAATTGAAAAAAAGAGACCATGAATTTGTGAGACGGTGGGTAGGAGAAGTTGGAGGGAAGGGGAAAATAATATAAACAGAGCTATGAAATTTAAATTTTTAAAATAAATTATTTTTTTATAGAACAAAAATTAACAATGTAACCTTTGAGCGACCTTTGACCTTTGTGGATGGTAGGGAATTGTTCTGATATTCCTAATCACATCTTGGATGCACTTCATCAGCAGGTGTACACAGCATTCTTTTATTGTTCCCTTCAATCATTATCTTCAATATTCTTCCTGTAAAATTATTTTTGAAAAAATTGTGACTGTGCCTCTAACAATACTGTGAGCTAGGATTCATTTAGATAAAGAGTGGGTTCAGTGATAATGAGATCCCAAACTGCATTCCTACTGGAGAACTAATCCTATCAAAGCAAGCCTTCATTAATCCTCCATAGTTGAAATGCTGGCTCCTATGCAGGAGAGATTGTGATTTCTGGCTCCCTTCCATTTGCTGTGGGTCACAGAACTGTGAACACCAAGCAGTGCTGAAGCTTAAGTAGCCTGGGATATTGTGCACTGATGTGATGCCTAGATTATCTAAGTCATGGCAGTTATGTAATTTACATATAAATAGAGTAAGTAATGCATATTTGGAGAAGCTGGGGCCAGAGTGATTTTTATCATTCTTTCTTGATGCAGTTCTGCTTCTGGAAATATACTGGGTCCTTAAAATGAGAGTAGGAAAGTATGCTTCCTCATTCTTAAGAGAACAGGTTTTTTTCCTAAAATGTTCAGGAAAGCATTGTGCTTGCCTCTTATGAACAGTTGTCAAGTGCCATTATGAGAAATGATACGTGCTATCTCTCAGTAGATTGTGTTCTTTTGACCCTACTATCTTAAGCTGAAGATAACACTAACAAATTCAGGGTATAGTGGCTAACCATCATTATGTAACTGCAGGTGATAAAAAATGTTTGTACTGTTCTTCAAAAGCTTTTGATCATGTTTGGCTGGATATATATTATATGTGTGTGTGTGTGTGTGTGTGTGTGTGTGTGTGTGTGTGTATATATATAGAGAGAGGTATCAAAGGACTTAGAAATATTTGTTATTTAGTTTTTTATTTGTTTATGGCCTTTTAGAAGTTTTAGATTTTAGTCCAAAGAAACTACTGACAATGAGCTTTTGATTTTATATCAAAATATATTGCAGTAAAAACTAGGAAAATAGGCTTTTTTAAAAATATCCCAAGCTAAGATTCTGGTTGTAGAATATCTGTAGTTCTAAAGGGTGTGTTCTCGTCTAAATGCTGGGATGAACCTGACTTTAACTCTAATCCCTATGACCTTTGAATGTGAATAATTTACTAGCATAATTTCATAGTAAAGCTTGCTTACTTTCTTGTAGAAAGTGCCCAAACTTATAAACCAAAGGTTTATTATTACTGCTAGGAAGGACAAAATAACAGTTTAGTAACTTTTTGCTTAAAAGAATCGCTTGAAATTTAAATATGTAACAACCGTGTTGTTCAGTATATCCTTAATTGAATCCTCAGTACTGCAGTGTTTCTGATCGTACTGCTGGTAGGTAAGTAAAAGAAAACAGAGCATGGTTTTCACAGCTTTCCACAACTCAGGGTCACTGTGTATTCTTAAAATTAATGAAAAGCCCAGGGGCTTTGTGTATGTATTTCATTGATTAGTAGTTTTTGATCCATGTACAGACTGATAACAACTAGCTAGGTATGACAGCCCAAGCTTCTAGGCATCTCTGGGAGTATGATCTAGAGTTCAAGGCCAGCCTGGGCTCTACAGTGAAACAGTCACATAAATAAATAAATAAATAAATAAATAAATAAATAAATAAATAAATAAATAAATAAATAAATAAATAAATAAATAAATAAATAAATAAATAAATAAACAAACAAACAAATAAATAAGCAAATAGATAAATAAATAAATAAATAGATAAATGAATAAATGAATAGATAAATAAATAGATAAATAAATAAATAGATAAATAAATAAGTAAATGAGTAAATGATAAATAAATGAGTAAATGGCTAAATAAATAAATAAATAGAATAGTAACGCCTTAATAATAATGTTAGCTAAAATTGTATATTTTTTAATAACTTTAACTCTAATAAGCAGAATAGTGCTATTGCCTTATATTTTTTATGTCCCTAAATTAGAACAGCAGGACTCTCATATCTACTTCTATGTTCTATTCGTTGCCATTCTTTATTTGGTTAGAAGTGTATCAAAGCATGTCTTAAGCTTACTTGAAATGTACAATTTAAAACTGTATCAGTGGTTTAGAGGATACAGTTTTTAGTGTATAATCAAGAAGACCAGAGTTATGAACTTGGTTGAGCAAATATCCTTGTTGTGGAGTGGAACATCTTTCAAGTGTAGCCCAGGAGTGGAATAGCTGTGTCTTGATGTGTGGCTATTCCCACTTTTCTGAGAAAGCACCAGATTGATTTCCAACATAGTTGTTCAAGTTTGCACTCCCAGCAGCAATGGAGGAGTGTTCCCCTTTCTCCACATCCTCACAAGTGCCTCAAGTATTGGCACTTAAGTTTGTCATCTTAGCCATTCTGATGGATGTAAGATGGAATTTCAGAGTCGTTTTGATTTGCATTTCCTGATGACTAAGGATGTTGAACATTTCTTTAAGTGTTTCTCCATCATTCAAGATTCCTCTGTTGAAATTTCTCTGTTTAGCTCTGTATCCCATTTTTAATTGGGTTATTTGGTTTGTTGGTGTTTAGTTTCTTAAATTCTTTATGTATTCTGGATATTAGCCCTTTGTAAGATGTAGAAGTGGTGAAGCTCTTTTCCCAACCTGTAGACTGACTTTTTGTTCTATTGACAGTGTTCTTTGCCTTACAGAAGCTTTTCATTTCCATGAGGTCCCATTTAGTAATTATAGATCTTAGAGCCTGAGCTGTTGGTGTTATGTTCAAGAAGTTGTCTCCTGTGCCAATGAGTTCAAGGCTCTTACCCACTTTCTCCCCTAGCAGATTTAGTGTGACTGGTTTTATGTTGAGGTCTTTGATTCACTTAGACATAGATAGCAGCTTTATTCATAATAGCCAGGAACTGGAAATAACCCAGATATCCCTCAACCAAAAAATGGATAGAGAAACTGCAGTACATTTACACAATGGAATACTACTCAACCATTAAAAACAAGGAAATCTGAAATTTGCAGGCAGATGGATGGAACTAGAAAAGATTGTCCTAAGTGAGGTAACACAGACCCAAAAATACATACATGGTATAACTCCCTTATAAGTGGATTTTAATCATGTAGTATAGAATAGACAATACTACAATACACAGACCCCAAGAAGATAAACCTAGTGGGCATCTTAGGATTCATGTGGTCCCACTGGTTAAGGAAGTGGAGGATTATCTCTGACATGGACTATGTTGTCTGCTTTTTGATCACTTCCTCCTACCAAGCCACAGGAGAGGACGATGCACTCAGCACTCATATGAATAAATGAGCTAGAGTGTATGGGTATGGGGACTCCCCTATTCTGAGGAATAGGCAAGAGGGGATGCAGGAGGGAAGGTGGGATTGGAAGGAGAGGAAGGAGGGGCCTATGACTGAGTGTAAATTGAATTAATTAATAATAAAAAAGAAGACGGGAGTTTAACATATCACTCACTTAACTGCTAGGCAGTTATGGTGCCCCATTTGTGATTTTAATGTGTAGGAGGGCAGAGACAGAGCATCCTACAGTCATCAAACCAGCAAGCTCTGAATTCAAATGGGAAAGCCTGCCTCAATATATAAGATGGAGATTATTTGGGAAAAATACATGTCAACTGCTAACCTTCATATGCATATGTATAACAAACTTGCACCCACACATAGTCACGTAAGTACTGGAAAGCAGTCTTATAATGTTCTTTTATTT